ATAACAAGAAGATCGTCTCAAGACATTTTGGTTAATAGGTTGGCCTTAGGCAAATCTCATAGCGCGGTTCCTATTAACGTTATGACTAACAGGCCTTGGGCAAGTCCCTTGACTCGAATCCTATTAGATCTTTCTCTGCGATCGTCGTCAATAGAGCTTGTGCTTCATCTTTTGATGAATGACATCGAGCCAGGAGAAACCTGGCTTTGATACCACTTGACGCAGGGGAATACACGGGAACTAGATATCGTTCTAGTAGACGAAAAGGGCTCTTGAATTCACGAGAGAAATAGAACTTTGAATCCACAAGGAAGAGAAAATATCTTAATATTATTGATTGAATAAATAAAAGTTATCTTTGCCATGAGGCTTACATAGCTATTTATAATAAACTAAATCTAATATTTGTAGGAAAAGTAATTCTAAAATAAACTAGGAAACTTAAATCAACACAAATTAGGAAACCTTAGAGAATAGGAAACTAGAATTCTAAACTAATTAAAATTCTAGTCAACATCTAATTCCAACATAATAAAGTTAAGAAACCTAATAATTCTAAATTATTTATACTAAATTACAAGAATCCTAATAAAATAATATATCAAAAATGTTAACACTAAAAATTCTTAAAATCTTGTCCTACACCATGATTTTGACCAAAATCATTTTAGACCTTAAAACTCTCTTTTTCAAAATATTTTTCCGAAAAGTTTATACGATATTCCGAGGCTCGCATTTCATTAAAAATTACACTTTTCGGTAAACCAAGCAAGGACAAAGTGGAAATAAATGGAAGAGGGGTGAACTCTTTGAAAAATCCTTTTAAACCTCTTATTTAGAGGTTTGGAGTTGTAGAAAATTGGAGGACAGGGAAGAAACCTAGTTAGGGAAGAAGTTTGGCATAAACCGTTTAGAGAGAACTGGGCAGCCTTTACTAAATCTGGTCTATCCTTTTGCACACTTGGACTTAAGTTGTGAGACCACCATCATTGGAAAGTGGACTTCTAGGGCTTTATTTTACACTCAAGAATCTCCTAAAGCCGAGTCCGGATGAGGGAGATATGGCTAGTTGAAGTTAGGTATCCATCTAATTAAGCCAAAATTGAGCAACCTTCACTAAAATATGCATATCTCTTGGCACACTTAGAATTTTAATTTGAGGATGCCACCATTGGAAAGAACACTTCCAGGACTTCAATTTAGACTTAAGAATTACCTGTAAAAGAGTCCGGAGGAAGGAGATATGCCCATTTGACGTTAGACTTTGAGAGTAGATTTTTCTAGCCGGCCACTAGTGGAGTTTGCTGGACATGAATGGGCTTTGTCGGCCATGTGTCAGCCATGAATGGCTTTTTTTGGCCATGTGTCGTCCAAGGGTGACTTTTTTCAGCCACTAGTGGTGGCCGGTCAGCCACTGGTGTCAAAGGTCAGTTTTTGTACAGATATTTTCCCTCCAGCTGTTCCACACTGCGCCAGCTATCCTATATTTTTATTTTCGACCTGAGCACTTATTTTTCTATAAATAGAGGACCTTCTCTATTGTTTTCAAGGTTAGAAAACATTAGGAGTGAAGAAATATTTTGAAAAATATCCTCTGTCTCTACAACCCTCTATCTCTACAATTCTTTCTCCCTTTTGCAACTTGCATAGCCTATGCCCAAACACACCAAACAAAACCTAGAGAGCTTCTTGCTGAGGTGATTTGAGCTTGGATTTGAGCTCTTGAAGCACTTGAGAGTGTGAAATTGGTTGGTTTGTGAACAAAAGGGTTCATTCCTCTCCAAGAGCAAGGAAGTTCAAACCAGCAGTGGCCAACCGGCCACCATTGGTAGCCGACCGGCCCCTTGTCGGCCACCAATGAAATTTGTACAATGTGTTGGTAAGGTGGGGCAGAGATGTTCTGGAAGTGGGAAGCATTTTCAGTGACCAAATGTGCAAACAGAGGCATTCAGCAGCAAGGCAGTGGCTTTTCGGGTGAAAAATCGAGCATGCATGCATCCTTCACTTCCCGGGATTAGCTAATTAGTTTAATTAGCAATAGCTTAAATACGTGTTGTAATTAATTAGTTGTAGTTAATTAAGTGTTGTAAATAATTAGTTAGTTTAACTAGTTATTCGATTTCGGTTTGTAATAATTAATTAGCTTAGAATAGTTAATTAGTTTCGTTTGTAATAATTAGTTTAATTGGTGTAACTAGTTAGCTTATTCATTCAGACCCTCCTACGTAAGGGCGTAATGTTGTAATAAGTGTGCGTGAGTGTGTGTATGTCGTCCAACCCCACGTTTTTCTCCTTTTTATTTAATCGCTTTTGATAGTTAGATTAGGGACATTTTCAATTAGCATACCTTATGCTTGCATATTTCCATCCATTCATTTGTCTTGCATGCACCGAGACTTGGCGCATCATTCAAACTGCATTGTCATTTCAAAACCTTATTTGAATACGTGTTTAATCGCATGTTATCAAATTGATCCCCATGCCATATTAGTGGCCGAGCCTATTAATTGCATATTGCATGTGTTGCATTAGGCATTTTGTATAGTTAGGAATCATGCATTACTTCCTAACTTGTTTCTTTCCTAGCTTGGAGTACTAGGTGAGTTTTACGCTTTAGCATACTAGCATAAGTGTGAATGTTTCCATGTTTAGCATGCTTGCCATGAGACTATGTGCTTAAATGCTAAACTGCATAAATGCCTGTGGATGAAGCCTTGTTGTTTGAATTGGAACAATTCAACAAATGTGCGTTTTAAGCCCACTTCATTGAATGGCAAATCATGTTTTAAGCCTACTATGTTTGGTAGCAAATCCGTAATCTTTAAGCCTACTTGAGGTGGCAAATTCAAACCATTTTTGTAAGCAAGCAAACATGAGTTGAATTGTTTCAAATTGAGCAAACTAGTTTATACTTGCTTGTGTGTATCACATAGTAATGCTAGTTTAATAACCGGAACAAGAGCACATAATGTTTATAAAAATCATATCATGATCAGTAGAGACCGATCATTGATCGGGTGAGCAAGGATGCTCAATTCATGACCATCCCCCTTCGTACCTAAGTTCCCGAGCTGAGGCAACTTTGGTGATGATGGACCCGCGGCCTTTAACACGAGTCAGGGTTTCCTAAATTTTCCCAAAACAAAAAATATTTAGGGGCGACTCTGTATCTGGCAAAGTAGTCTAATTTTGGCACTTTTTGATTCAAAATCAATTTTTTAAAACAATTTACCCGATTTGGACTCTTTTGTGTTTATCAGTTTCAGATTGTACTTGTGAGATTATATTCAAAACTGCGACAGTCCGAACTGTGAGGCCCTTTCTTTTCAAACCTTTCCGAAAGGCGGGACGCGAGAAAAAGGCGAGTCCACAATACCAAAGCAACAGAAATTGCAAACAATAAAACAGAGAATGTTCATTTCAGTGCAAATTAGGTGATGCAGACACCCATTTAAATAGATAGCAAGTAGTAGTACACAGGTGAAAACAAAAATAAGAAAAGATGAGAAATTACCCTAATGAGCCTGTATTTTGCCTCGTATTTCTTTGCATTCTCAACAGAATCATAAATCAAACCAAAGCCAGTAGATTTGCCTCCTCCAAAATGGGTCCGGAACTTAAAAAACAAAGATGGCATTTGGGTCTTTCACCTCATACATCCTAGACAATTTTTCCTTCAGCTCCGCCTTCAATTCAAAAAAGAAAAAAGCAAACCCAAAAGGAAAAAATGTAGAACGGCCAATCAAAAAATAATATGTAGAACCAAACAAAGTAAATCTACTAGAAATAGAATACAACTTGAAAATGTGCATTAATAGGTAATGGCCATACAAGAACGCATTAAATTAAATAAATAAACAACACCAGAATAACAATAGTTGATTAACACATTACACTTTCATAACTTTGGTAAACAAATGACCTCCCAGTAAAACAAACCCATGATTTTGTTTTTCAAGAATAATTAATCAACAATACAAAAGGTTAAACTAGATCACTAAGTTGTGAATAAACCACACATATACAACAATAACAACATTATAGCAAACAAAATAGATAGAAAAACATGTTCTACAAAACCATGAGATGTTGGAGAGAAATCAAAAAAGGAAAAAGAACAAACCTTGGAAACATTTGGTCTTCCTGGATGTGGAACGTCAATGATCTGAATCAAATTAATTAAAAAAAAATAAAAAATTTCCTAATTCAAGTACAGAAAGCACTATCAAAATAATAATAAAAAAAAATTATGAGAAGCGGAGAGATCATACACTGTTCTTGATGATTTGCTGCCTGGCCAAGAACCTCGCAACAGGTGGCGTGAAGACTGATTGAGAGTTGAAGAGAGACACACTACACCATCGTCGCTTGCTGCTCAATGCCATCTCACGTTGTTAGCTACTATCGCTCGACGCTGTCGATTCAATGCTCGTCGTCGTTTGCCTCTGCTTACAGTCGAGAGAGAGAGAGAGAGAGAGAGAGAGAGAGAGAGAGAGATATGGGGATTTTTTATAAGGTTTTTGGTTAAAAGGTTAGGGATTTTTGGCAATGGGGATTTTTGGTTGAAGGGGAAAAAAAGCTGAGCACAAGATTTTGGGTTTGTTTGTTTTTTTTTTTTAGATTTTGGGGTTTTTTTTTTTTTTTTTTTTTTTGTGACGTCAAGTTTCATGCTATCGCAAAAAATATCTTTATTTGTGACAGCAAGGATTGTCGTCGCAAAAAATGCATATTATTTGCGACTGCAGTTGTTCCCATCACAAAAATGTGTTTCTTTTTGACAAGAAGTGGTGCCATCGCTGAACCCGATTTATTGGCGACAGCAAGTGGTACCATTGCAAAAACTCACTTTTTGCGACAGTAAGTGGTGCCGTCACAAATACTTTCGTGTTATATGCCCCCTTTTCTTGCAGTGTCTCTAGCATTTTTGGTCTATGACCCAATGAGTAATTATTTGTGACTATCGTATAATATTTTTTATTTGATATTCTAAATAAATTATGTAAAAAGAAAATTTTGTTGATTCACTTTCATTAGTTAGCTAAGAGACAAGCGATTATCTACTTTATGCATATTATAATTTCTTATTTGTCGAATATATTATATAGATAATATAGTAATACAAGAATAGCTAATAATTTTCCAACCCACGTTCTTGTGTTGAGTCCTTGTGGCTAACTAGTTTGATGACATCTTGAATGAACAATCTCATATTCAAGTATGAAGAACCCCCTTCGTCCATTGCCTTCTTTGCCATCTCCCCAAGTACTCTTGCCCTTCGTCTTGTCTCTTCTCCTATTCCTTCACTCATTACTTTCTCCACAGCAGCCCTAACAACCTCTCTATCCACCAACTTCTCACACTTGTCTTCCGCAAACATGCGCCCAACTGTCTGAACGCCAACACTCGCTCCGATCACCAAAAGCTGCACAGCTAGCTTCTCATTCAAAAACTGCTCACCGAACATAGGCCACGTTATCATCGGCACACTGGCACACACCCCTTCCAGCGTCGAATTCCACCCGCAGTGTGTCAAAAAAGCCCCCACAGCCAGGTGCGACAATGTGAGTATTTGCGGTGCCCAGCCTCGAATCAGAAGCCCTCTCCCTTTCGTTCTTTCCTCGAATCCGTCTTCTTCCACCCACTTCTCTATCTCTGCCGCCTTGTATCCGCTTCTTATAACCCACACAAATGGGTGTTTCGAAGCCTCCAAGCCTAAACCTAGCTCGATTAACTGAGCTAGTGAGAGGTTAGTTATGCTTCCAAGGCATGCGTAGACCACGGAGCGTGGCTCTTGCTCATCGAGCCACTTCAAACATTGGTTTTCGTCGATGTCAGCCTTGTTTCCTCTCTGAGCCTTATCCAAGTTGTCTTTGTTGCACAACGACAGCGGCCCAACGCACCAAACTTTGTCTCCTTTCACCTTTCGAAACTCGTCGACATATCTCGGTTCTAGCTCTTCAAAACTGTTAATCACCACCCCATATGCTTCAGCTTCGGCAGCTTTTATTCGATTCCAAAAATCTTGCCATTCTGGTGAACTTCGATTGAAAAACATAGCCAACTGAGCTTTAGTTAGCTCAATTCTATCAGGCAAGCCAGGAAGTTCGAGCGGCTCTGAGTCTGACTCGGAAACATTCTCAGAATCTTTAAAATTTTCTAAATTGTGTGCGCATAAGAGAGTGAGGCAGTTCATTCCATCAAAAAGAATTCTCGGAATTCCAAACTTACGAACAGTGTCTCCTATCCATGCAATATATTTATCGGCTATTAAGCAACTGGGACATGGCTCGAGCGTTTCAAACAACTGCTCGAATGGTTGTTGCAACATGTCGATGCCCTTGAAGAATTTCATCGTAAGGTCTAGAGAGTGAATAGCGTCTAAAGTTTCGTACCCCTCCAACAGGCCGGCCTCCACAGATGGGAACCGGAGAGGGAGAAGGCGTAGGGGGAGGCCTGATTCGATCACACGGTCGATGATGGGGCGGAACCTGGAGGCAATGACAGGAGTGGTGACGACGGTGACAGTCACGCCTTGTTGTGCCAATAATTTGGCCAAGTCAATCAAGGGGATGAAGTGGCCTGGGGCCATAAAAGGTACTAAAATGAAGTGAAGCTGGTGGTGGTTCTCTAAAGCCATTGGAGCTTGGGGGATTGGTGTGGTAGATGGATGGGCTATGTAGAATTTATACAGCTTGTCCCAAATTTGGGTTTAAGAAAACAAAACAAGGACTCCGGCTAGGTTTGGCAACCTTTCAAAAAATTAAAAAGTCAAAAAGTTACTATCACATCATTTTATTTAAATCACATCACATCTCTATCGCATTATTTCAAATCCAACTCATATTTCATAGAAAGTCAAAAAGTACACTTATTTAGAACATTCCAAACAATCATTTTTATACTAAACTCTTAACATTATTCACTAGGTTTGGTTTTAATTTTCTAAATTCTATTTTTTAGAAATTCAATTTTTTATTTTTCGTATTTTTTTAAATTTTAGTGAATATTTTTAAAATTTGAAATAATTTTTTTACTTTTTTAGATGCACTTTAGTTAGCTATATTTAAAAAATAAAATATTTATAAAAAATATTTTAAAAAATCAGTAAATATATAATAATACGAAAAATTTATTGAGTTTTCTTTTTCTTTTGTCTTTTTTCTTTCTTTTTTTTTGTATTTTTGGTATTTAATATTTTTTTTAAATATTTTTTTCACAACTATTATACTTTTTTAGTATATTTATGTTAAGTTATTTTAAAATTAAAAAAAATGTTTAAAATATTAAAAAAATTTAATGAAAACAAAAAAATAAAAAAATAAAAAAATTAAGGTTTTTAAAAAGTGAATCCTTTAATTATGATACCAAACGAGCTAATTACTATTTTAAGCGGAGAAGTTATTGGTTGTTTTTGGGACACTGTCATGTGGTGTTCCAATAAGATTGTGACTAGTGAAAGAGATTGGACTCATAAAATCGTGAAGTTAAGAGGTTGGTTGTAAAAACGTGAGTAGCAGTAGTAGGAGAGTGAGTTTTTACTCTTCGAATCTCTCTCATAGCGTTTTTTTTCCTTGTACCTTCAAATTTCATGTTTTTAATGAATTTTTTCTTTGCTAATAAAAAAAAAAAGAGAAAGAGATTGGACTCGTAAGTTTATACTCAGTGATTAAAAAATATAAAAAAATATAAAAAATTATGATTAATAAGGAATATAATCATGCCACGTCTTAAAGTCACCAATAATCTTTTCTCACTTAGATGGCGACACTCAATCATTTGGTACTAGAAATCATCTAGATGCTCAATTATTTTGGAGTAGTCGTAATCTGGCCTTTCAAAAATACAAGATCCCATTTCAAAATTTTTCTTTAAGTAGTGCTATAGGAGTGATTTTTATATGGAGAGGGGCACCTGCTGTGCTCTAAGCACAACAGGGTGTGCTGTGCGTGCCAAACGATATAATTTCTTCTTCTTCCATTATTTTTTTATTTTTTGGTTTGAAACAAAATGAAAAAAACTTTACAAATCTTTATAAATATTTATTGTAATAAAGGAGAAATATCTACTAGCATATTTTTTATTTTATTTTTGAAAATTCGTGAATTGAAATTTATTGTTTATTGAGTATTATATTTTTAATGTTTTTAAAAATTAAATGAGACTAGTTATATTTTATTTGACATTGATATTTATTAGAGTATATTGGTTGATTTTTTTACAAATCAATAAATAATATGTAATAATACACATCGTTGCAAGTAAATTTAACAGTAATTTTTTAAGGATTTTATGATTTTTTTTTTATTATTATTGATTTGTCTGAATGAGTACAATATTATTACTGTTGCTGTTGTTGTTGTTGTTGTTGTTGTTGTTGTTGTTGTTGTTGTTGTTGTTATTATTATTATCTGAAGAAATTATAAAAAAGTAAAAAAAATCTCAAAGAGTGATCTTTGTATTAAAATAAATTATGAATTTTTAATTATATCAATATAAACTTTAAATTTTGATTTCTTTTTAATCTCAACAATTCATCTATTTCTGTTAGGTAAAACTCACAATTTTCTTTTTTTACTCATTAAACTCAATATAGATATACATAAAATGTCTAAAATATCATTTTCTATCAATTTACCTAACAAAAATAAGTCAATAGTTTAAATTAAAAATAAATAAAAAATTAAAGTTTAAATTAATAAAATTAAAAACTCATAATTTATTTTGTTACAAAGACCAAATTTTGAGATTTTTTTTTATAAATAATTTACCCTTATTATTTTTGTTAGTTTTTCTTAAAGCAATGCAATGTTGGCAGGTGTGCTCAAACCAGAAACTAACCAATAGCAGCACACACACTAACAAAAAACACAAAACAAAGAAATATTATGTTAAAAAAACAAAAAAAAAACAAAACAAAACAAAACGCACAAAATTGTGCCGTTTTGCCGAACATCAGTACCTACTGTACAGCAGGCACCCCTTTCCCTTTTTATACGTGAATAGGATATATTTATATAATATTTTTTATTATTATGATTGGTGAAAAATAATGAAATATAAATTATATTGTTGGCTGTTTAAAAATATTAGAGAATATATATATATATATATATATATTTATGAGTGATAAAAAGATAACGTGGTCTTTTTGACAAGTTGGGTTAAATGTTGCGTTTGCAGCTTGGGGGCTAAAAATGCTAGATGGATTTTTTAGCTATGGAGTCATTTGTCCAGTCTAAAAAAATTACATATAAAATTACAATTGCACCCTTTATATTATTTAGAGTTATAAATAGGTAAAAATGTAAATTTTCTAAATTAGTTAAGATAATTTGATCATTTTATTGTGGTGTGACATCATAAATAAATATTAAATCAAAAAAATCAAAAGTAATTTTTAACCATTTTTCTAAATAACTTTATAAAAAAATCTAAAAACTTGATAAAAAACTAAAAATTAATTTTTTATCACATTCTCAAAACATCCCTATATTAATGTATACAAACTGACTCGCATTTTAAATGCTTTACAAAATAATAATATAAAAAGAGTAATGCACTCCACAAAATAATATAATAACAAATTAAAAATTGATCATGGAGTTTTTGTCGGCCGTGATTGGCCTTCAAAGCTCCAGTCGGCCATCTTTGACTATAATGTTAGTGACGTAAGAGCCTACATCAGCATATTAGATTTTTTGTACATAAATATTTGGATGCAGTGCAGGCCATTGTAAAATCTCATTTGGATTTTTGTACATAAATATGTGGATGCATCCCTATTGTCACCCCTCGTTTGGGTTAGGACATCCGCATCAGTTTCAGTAAGTTTTAAATCAAATTATAATTTAAAATTTATTATTTTTTTGTTTTCACTAGTCTTTTTTTTATATATACACTCCATTAAATTTTTTATTTTAAAATTTTATTTTATTAAAATATTATTTTCTATTCTTTTATCTTTTTTAATTTAAATATATATTTTTCAGCCATCATATTTTTAAAACGTCTATATTCTAACGGTCATATTTCAACAGCTATATTGTAACGACTATATTTTAACGGTCATATTCTTTCAATATAAATAAAACCAATTGCTATCTAAATTTCATCCACATCAACCTAATTTTGCTATTTCATTTTCTATTTATTTTTTCTATATGGATCTTCATTCTATAGACGATATGATTCTTTATGACTCTGACTCCGACGATGAGTTGGAGACAATTGGAATAGCTACTATGGAAGGCCAATAGTTCATCAAGATCACGACACAATTCTAATCGGCGTCGCAAATTCATTTGGTGCAATTCTTTGCAAGGTCACCAAAGACTCTTTCTAGATTATTTTGCTGATCCACTAGTATATCCTTCCAATATATTTCGGAGGAGGTTTCGAATAAAACGTTCTCTTTTTCTCTGTATTCAATCTGCGGTAGAAGTTTATGAATCATATTTTGTCCAAAAAAGAAATCGTGCTCGGTTTATCTTTCCTTCAGAAGATGACTGCATCACTTAGAATGCTCGCTTATAGAGTAGCAGCTGATTTTATAGATGAATACTTGAGGATTAGAGACAGTACCGCAATGAAGAGTCTATATTATTTTGTTAAAGCGGTGGTTGAAATTTATTTCGATCAGTATTTGAGGTCACCAAACAACAATGACATTGCTAAACTACTAGCAGTTGGCAAAAGTTGTGGCTTTCCTGGAATGTTGGGAAGCATTGATTGTATGCATTGGACATGGACGAATTGCCCGACTGCATGAAAAGGTATGTATATTGATCACACCCATGAACCAACAATTATTTTGAAAGCAATTGCATCATATGATCTTTGGATATGGCATGCATTTTTTGGGTTACACGGGTCTCATAATGATATCAATGTACTAGAAAAGTCTACTGTATTTACTGAGCTTGCTCAAGGGCGTGCTCCTCCAATCAATTACACCATCAGCGGTAATGAGTATACAATGGGATATTATCTTGCTGATGGTATATATCCACCATGGGCAACATTTGTGAAAACAATTCCATGTCCACAAGGAAACAAGAAAAAACATTTCACTATGGCCCAAGAGGCATGTAAGAAGGATGTGGAACGTGCATTTGGGGTGCTTCAAGCACGATTTGCAATTGTGCGTGGATCTGCACGATCTTGGAATCTTGAGTCAATTAAAGTTGTTATGAAGGCTTGCATAATATTGCACAATATGATCATTGAGGATGAGCGAGATGACAATGAAGCATAAGACATTGATTTTGAACAAATAGATGAAACCCCTTTGGCACAAGTGTCACATAAGTGTACAACCGAGCTTATGGAATTCATTCAACAAAATCACCGCATCAGAAATAGACCAATTCATTCTCAACTCCAATAAGATCTTGTTGAGCACTTGTGGCAACTATATAGTCAGGTGTAGGACATTGTGTCGTGTTTTAATTATTTTCTAGCAAATAAATATATTATGTTTTTAATTATTTGTTTTAGTAATGAAAAATATTAAAACAAAAACTATGGTGTGAAAAGAACATGCGAAGGAAATAAAGAAAGAAACAAAATTATCTTTCTTTTCCATTTTTGATTGTTTTTATTATGTTTTGATTTATTTTGAAACATGGATTATAATTGAATTGAAAAGGTTTAATTCAATCATTATAATCCTTAAATTCTCCTTGTGTTTAACCATATTTTTGGAGTGCAAAATGATGTTAAAACAGGTATAAAATAAGGCCTAAGACAACAACAGATCAACGGCAGAGCAGCAGCAACACAGGAGGTGAACCGGTCAACCGGTGGGACGTCCGGTGGGTCGTCCAGTGGGTTGACCGGTGGGACGACTAGCCATGGTTTTCCTCCAGTTCAGTTTTTCTTCCCACAACATACATACAAGGAAGCCATTTGGGATTCAATCATCCAAACATGAAGTCATCAAAACATCAAAACATAAACATAAACATTCCAAAAACATAAACAAGGAAGCCATTTGGGATTCAAGGAAGCCATAAACATAAACATAAACAAGGAAGCCATTTGGGATTCAATCATCCAAACATGAACATTCCAAAAACATCAAAACATAAACATTCCAAAATCATTCCAAAAACATCCAAATACAAAAGCATGTCAAACATGTCAAATATTACTATCATCCAAATAGAAATCATCCAATTACTCCACATCATTAATTTTTTTTCCTACTCTCAATGATTTCCAGTTAGCGTAAACGATAATATTCTTGCTACATTGAGGACATCTCACTTGTATCAATCATTATCATTCTCTCTTCCTCTTTTAATTGTTCAGTTCGAGCCCTTGAAACATGAATATGATAAGATTTTTGACGAAGTTCAAGTTTCTTCTCAGTTCCTTTTTTTCTTTCTTCTTTCATCTCATTCAGTAAATCCACAATTGAAGAACTACTATCATGGTTCTTTACTGTTTTCAACCGCTCCTTTTCTACCTTCCTACCCATAGGTCTCTCCAAGGGTCAGATATCATTTTCTGCTAGGTGTAGAAACCCCATTTTTGACCGACCTTAAGACTCAGACGTCATCGATTGAGTGCTCGGTGATAATGCATGTTTGTGCTCGTTTTGAGTTTCCAGAGTTTTTGGCTGTGTGCCTTGCCTCCGGGCCTCTGAACTCTTTGTGTTTTGGCTTGCTTTGTGGACCATGCCTTACTACCCTTGTCTGGAGGGGGGAGAGAGGTTCATAGACCACTTTTCCCTCTTGTCGGCTAGTTTCTGGTTTCCAGAGCCTTCGGCCGAGCGCCTTTTCTTGCTTCCCTTTTGGTTTGGCTTTGCAGCAAACCTTGTTTTCCCTTGTCTAGAGGGGGAGAGATGTCTTGTAGACTACCTTTTTGTGGTCGTAGACCACTTTTCCCTTTTGTCGGCTAGTTTTTAGTTTTCGGAGCCTTTGGCCGCGCACTTTGTCTCGGGATCGCTTAACGTTCTCCTTTTGGCCTGGTTTTCGGACCATGCCTTGTTGCCTTGGTCTAGAGGAACACAGAGGTCTCGTATACCACTTTTTGTGGTCGTAGACCACTTTTCCCTCGTAGACCACTTTTGGTGCCCGTAGACTAGTTTTCGAAGTTTCCGGCTGCACGCCTTGACTTGCAGACTCTCGTCTTTCATCCCTTTTGGTTTGTTTTTGGCACAAACCTGTTTTTCCTTGCTTGGAGGGTGGAATAAGGGCTGTAGATCAGTTTCTCTCCCTGAAAACCACTTTTCTTCCCCGCCAACCAGTTTTCTGGTCGGCCAACTGGTCTTGGTGGTCTTTGGACCACCAAAAGTGGTCGGCAACCATGCCACCACCTTTCCCCCTGGCCAACCAGTTGGTATTCTTTCAGACCACTTTTTTTGGTTGGCCGACCAGTGGAAGTAGCTGGCCGACTACTTCAAGTGGTCGACAGCTTTCCTGTATCTTTTTGAAAAAATTTTCTTGCCAACTGTGATAGCTGGAGAGCACAAAAACCATACTCCATACACGTGTATGGAGAGAGAGCTTGGAGCCCTTAGCTTCCTCAACAAGCTTGAGGCTTGATTTTTCTATATAAGGGAGGCCCTCCCTCCCTTCTCCGGGTTCAGAAAAAAGTGGCTTGAGCTATACATATCATCTATCTCTATATTGCTCTCCCTCTTCATATTTGTGCTTGAAAGTGCTTATTCTTCACACTTTTGCACACAAACACATAGTGAAACACCATACTCTTGGAGTTAAGGCACCTTAGAGCTGGTTTTGGAGTTTTTGGATTGGTTTGAGCTCAGAAAAGTTGCTAGTGTTGCAGCTTTGAAGTGGTTCTACAAGGGTAAGCTTCTAACCCCTTAAACCTTGGTTTTTGTTTATGCTTTTGGCCCTATTTGCATGCTGATTTTGGCCTAACTTTTAACTACAAAAAGTTCTAATTTTTGGTTCTTAACATGTTTGTTTAAGGCCTTGTTGGTGTTGGGGGTGGTCTACCCCCTCTTGTGCCTTGTTTGGCCTTGTTTTTGTGCTATCCTTTTAAGCTATTGGGACCACCTCCTTTTGGCCTTCTCACCACTGAAACTCAAAGAAATTTCAGTGGTGGAAAGTGTGTTTTGAGGTCCCAAATAGGAGGGGGTCATCCCCTCTCCTTGTATCTTGTATGCTTGCCTTATTGGCCTCATGTTTGAGCATGGTTTTCTAGCATATGTTGGCTTATTCTCAACTTGTTTTTGGTGATATTTTGACATGGCATACCTCTGTTTTAGCTTGGTTGAGTCATTACTTGCATGCATTCTACACTTGTAGTGTAATCATGCAATCTAGCCTAACATGCATCATGTCTTTGGACCATCATTCTAGCATGTTTTGGCTCAACTCCAAGAAGATTGTGTCCATGTTTTAGCATGCTTAAGCTCTGATTTATGTTGTTTTGGTCATGCATGCCATGCTTTGTATTGCCATAGTGCATTCTAGCTCACTAACTTTGAGTTTCCAAGCCACTAGCATGCATTGCTTGGGCTATTTGCATGATTTTGCATCATTTGTTATGTGATTTTAGAGCATGTTTCATTTCCATGCATTCACATCTTTCACTCTTTCAATGCTTTGGAGAGTTGGTGTTTTATGCCTTAAGTATAAGCCTTTGTGCATGCCATCTTGCCTAGGCCTTTGGGTTGCCATATCAATGTGTTTTTTGGTCTTATTTTGCCATAATGCAACTCTGATTTTTGTTGGTGGAGTCACCTCATGCTTGGTTTTGGTAGGTGTAGTGTAATCCTCCATATTGGCCTTGCATATGCCATGCTTCATGCCTTCATGCTAGCTTGTTTTAGCTCTGGTCCATACATATTTTAGCATCATTTTGACATGCCCTAAGACTTTTTTGGGTTGCCTTGGCCTTTTGGTTCATGTATTGCATAGCTATAGTGCAAGTTCCTATGCTAGTTTTAAGCTTTGAGTCTTCTAGCATGCTTCATTTGTGACATGTGCAGGATTTGGAATCATTTAACATGTTATTTCAGAGCATATAGCATTTCCATGTTTCCATTTCTTTCACCCTTTGAGTGCCTCTAAGGGTTATGCATCACTGCCTTGTTTGTGGCCTAGCTTGTATGCATGCATGCCTAGACCTTTGAGCTCCCCTCTTAGCATGTTTTGGTCTTTGTTTTGACCTAATTGAGCACTATTTGTGCTGGTTCATCCATTTGTACCATGCATTGCATGCCTCTTGTGTAGTCCCATTCACTAGCTTTCATGTTTAAGGGCTCTTGCATGCCTTACTTGTGTTGTTTGAGTGGTTTGGAACCATTTCATACATAATTTCAGTGCATTTAGTGTTGTCACACTTTCATGTTTATCACTCCTTGATCATGTTCGAGAGTTATGTTGTTATGCTTAGTTGATGGGCCGTCACATGACTATGTGTTCTTGGCCCTTTTGTGCCTTAGTTTTGATGCATTTTGGCCACTGTTTTGGGCATGATTGAGGTCTGTCTATATTCGGTTTAAGTCCATTGAGCATGTTTGTTCGCATGTTGTCACATTCCATGTTGTTTGCATATGCATGCATTGCATAGTGTGTGCATGCCTTGCATTGTGTTTGGAATTTTGTGCATACCATCCTAGCATTGGTAGAATAACATGTTGTATGCTTGTTGCATTGCATTATGTTGTTGCATGTTTGTTGCATTGCATTATGTGATTGCATGCTCATGTTGTTTACATTATACTTGCCATGCTCATGTTGCATTGCATTGTATCTTCATGTGCATGCATTACATTGTGTTCAGATTGGACGTCAATCCAGACACGAGAAACGAGGGACATTTCATACTTGAAGTGATGAAACGTGCCTCAATTCTCGATCGCCGAATCTCTTGATCATGCATGATAGAGGTTAAGGCTTTATGTGTTGTTTGTGCATTCATTTACATTGATTCGTGCAATCTTGTCTTCTCGGCCATCGTGCATTGCAATGCTCGGTTGGTGGCCTGAGAGTCGAGAACTACACTCCCTTGAGATCATGAAATGATAGGGAGAGTGGTTATGCACACATATCTTGCAAATACACTGCCGTGCCCCTTCTTGTTCTCTGTTGTAGCAAACTGGAGAAGTGCTGAATTTTCTAGTCGGCAGACCAGTAAAAGTGGTTGGCCGACCACTTTTTCTGGTCTGCAGCAAAGGTAAGTGGTCGGCAGGTGGTTGGCAACACCAATAAGTGGTCGGCAATGCTCCTGGAGGTTCCCATGGTGGAGCAAAAGCTATCTGGAGCTTTGTACAGT